AGTCGCGCTAAGCTAGTTGCTGGCTAAATATTTATGCGTTGTTGCCCGCCGGCTAAACGTCCCAGAAATTCCGAAAAGTTACTACTTGAGCGAGAGGAAGAAACTCGTCAGAACTAAGACCAACTCGAGTCAATCAAGTGAAACAACAAGAAGAAGCTTGCTGACGATCAATATGGAAGGGGTTGGTTTCAGGGGGAACTTGTTGCTGATGGAAATTATGCGGAAAATTTAATTATTTTGCGAAAATTATAAAAATATGTCGGTTTTTTCACTTTATTCACGATCGTGACTAAAGTCGTGACTAAAGTAAAAAAGTGAATTTGAGACAAATTTAATTATTCCGCAAAAATCATAAAAATATGCTATTTTTTCTACTTTAACCACGACCATGACTAAAGTCGTGACTAAAATAAAATTTAATTTGCAAGGCGAGATTCTTGACTTCAAATAATTCCGAAAGTTATCAAAAAATAACAACTGCCACTTTTCCACTTTAATCACGACCGTGACTAAAGCTGTGACTAAAGTAAAAAAGTGAATTTGAGACAAATTTAATTATTCCGCAAAAATCATAAAAATATGCCACTTTTTCTACTTTAACCACGGCCGTGACTAAAGTCGTGACTAAAGTGAAAAGTCGAGGTTCATGATAGTAAATAATTCAAAAAATTATCAAAAATAACAACTACCACTTTTTCCACTTTAAACACGGCCGTGACTAAAGTCATGACTAAAGTCCCGTTTAAGGCGGATTTGAAAAAATTTAATTTGCAAGTCCAGATTCATGATTTTAAATAATTCCGAAAGTTATCAAAAAATAACAACTATGAGTCCTTTAAGTGAGTTAGTCCCTAACCTCACTGATCCTTTGATCTTGCAGTGACTTGCCTCGAAGTAGTTGGCTTCTTGTGCAATTTTTTCTCATCCCTCTAAGACTTCGTTATCCTGCGCTTCGTTTGCGCTATGCATGCGGCGTGGTGGCGTGCGAGAGAGTTTTTGCCGCCCCGCTGCCGCCCCCGCGAACTTTGCACCCAGTCCTAGACTCGCAACAGTTTCTCATCCTGTCTTAATCCGACCCTAGACCTCAACTCTCGACAATCCAAGACACTTTTTGCCCTCGGAATAAAATCAAACAAAAACCCCCCATGCTGCGGCTAAAAACGTCTCGCATAAATTACAGAATTAAAAGCAGCGCCGAATATAAACCGTATGCAAGTTTTTACAGCGCACAGATTTTTTCGGTTTGTTAAAAGAGCGTAGCCTCCGTCGGGGGCGGGTGGAAAAAATACAATATAAATATGTAATCCTCGTCGAAAAATGTTGACTTGCGAAAAGTTCGCTTTAAGCTTCGGTAATTTATCACGTCGCAACGAGAAAAAGGATTAAAATTTAAATGGAGCCCGGCGAACAATTTTATTAATTACTTTTATTGCTCACACAACACTTTTGCGAAACGCTGCGACTGTATTTTTGCATTCCGGCGATAAGAGATAAAACTTTCGGTCGGCGAATAATTTGCGCGCGGCGAAAATCGCAATCATGCAGGCGGCGCGAAAGCTTTTAGGACACCGACTCAAGACAATGAAAGTCTCGTCTGCCACTGGCAGCTTAATTGTAATTCTTAAACATATAAATCATCAAAAATGTACGAGCATAAGACAAGCGCTTCGGAGAAACAGATGGAAGACGACGTTGAGTAAACTTTCAAAGCAGTTTAAAAATAGTTACAGGATTAATTCACAGATGGCAGCAGCGGGATTAAAATTGACTTAAATATGACTTAAGTCACATTATACTTAACTTAATTCATATTATAAGTCATGAGTTAAGTCACATTATACTGAACTTAAGTCATATTATATTAACAAACTGACTTAAGTCACATAAATTTTTTTTTTGTTTTCTGTGATTTTAACAAACACATCACGTAATTGACAATAGCTCGACCTCGGGGGTGGTGTAGAAAGTGGATTAGCAAGTGTCTGGCACACTCGTTTGCCGTCACCGCCACCGCCGTCGCCGCCGCCAGCAAAAGTCAACTTTTCACATTACCGACTTTTCTCTTCTGGGACATGGTGGAAAATTTTGATGCGCGTCTCCAATTATTTTTATTTTTCCGGTTTTCCAAAACAAAACATTTTCCATTAATTTATCACTCAAGTGTTTTCTAATGAGACGAAGACGATGCAAGCTAAATATAGCCTACTCGTAGGTGCGTTGAAGATTGTTGAAAATCGTTCGACGAATGCTTTCCGGCGTCTTTCACATCGAACTTGAAAGCCCATCGCGCGCGCAATTTTCGCACACATTTCCCGAACGCGTTCGCTCACGTTAAGTACGTACTTGGAGACGTTACCGCGTTTCCTCGGAGTTTTCCATGCGAAGAACCCACTCGACGCGCACACGTCGAAGAACGCAAAGTGACGGAACGCCTTCATCGCATTCTCATCGTCGTTGTATGCGAACGAAGAGAGTGAAGACATGTCCAGGCAACTGTTTCTTCTTCTTCGTCTTCAATTCAGTTCGGGGCCATTTTTTCCGAAAAATGTTCGGAACGTGAAATGCGCAAAAACGCGCAGCAGAAACACGTTGATAAAAGTTGGCAGATTTTAAAGTCACGTACGTGCGGGGATATTGCCTCGAGACGAGCGATATGCCAAGATGTTTTCCGAGTGACATGTTGTTCGCTCGCTACAATGCATCCAACCGGGGTGGCATATTGGAACGGAGAGAATGTGATGGCGTCTCGTATTTCCTTCCAGCAAATAACGTGTGAAACTTTCCTAATACATCATAATGCATATTTCTTTTCTATTCGAGTATTTTCTTTATTTTCTAAACCGGAAACACAATTTTTTACGCCGGAAAACAAATAAATACAAGCTGGTTATCTGCGTCTGCAGACTTAGAAGGATAGTATGAATGGCGTGCGTGGTTAAAGAGGGTCACACAAGCAATGGCCACTTAAATTAACGCCGTGAGTGGTCTTGAGGTTCCAGCAACCTAACTAAGAAAGCCCAACGGCGGGTCATTACAGCACGGGTCCATTCCAGTCACGTCGCGCTACAATAACCAGAAGAGGCGGTTGTTCGGGTTGTGTTCATAAGTAAATATTATAACAAACCCACAAGACGTGGTCCATAGCCCACTTAAAATGATCCCCAACTCAAAATGTTTTTATGTAAGAAATCTAAGTGTTTTCCAATTAAATTCCGGAAACTTTTCCACTTTAACATCTCAAAAGTCAGTATATCAACAACTGGAGTGGTACCACATACAACCCACACCTATCCAACGATACTCCTTGGTAGTTACAAGTTGTAATTAGTTTTCGACACGTTTTGTTCCGCTGCCTCTTTGAGAATGCACTTCTGCATGTTGTTGTTTTCCATCGGGCGTTTAGCGTTTCACATTTCCCGAGCCCTTTGATTTTCTTCTGCGCGATATTAATACGCTGCGCGCTCTGCGTTAGCTGATCGTTACATTATGCGAAATTCTCGAGCTAATTGGAAACTCGACTTGGCAACTTAGTTTGTCGTAAACAACAATTATAAGACCAGGTCTGCGGTGGTGGCCTGCGCCTTCGCTTCGGGTAGTTTAATTTAGTTACGGGCGTACTTCCAGCGTTTTAAAACACAGCGAGAGAAAATTCGCCGGAAATGAATAAGTTTTCTTCATTGTTCTTGTAAATTGTTCACAACTTCCTCGAAAGCTGAATTCATGTTTAATGTTTAATTAAAACATCACAAACAATTATTTTAAATATTTCAATCCGGTTCGCGGGATTCAATGTGGATCAAATGTCAAATTTTGATGCAAAAACTATCGCATAACAATGGTCCAGTTTATTTCCTCGAGATTATCGGTGAGCAACAAATTTTTAACTGGTTAACCTTCAATCAACAAAATTTTATTTTTTGAAAAAAATTAATTTACATAATTGTTCTCCTGCATGTATCTACGTGAAATGTTGATTAGAGATTATTGAATTTCGTTGCGCGTGTTTTTGTTTATCGTGCTCATCAAAAACAAACAGTTTTTGATGATGACAGTTATTTGCTTTCAATGTACACGTTGAAAATGTTTATTTTTAGGCTCCAAAATTTTTATCGAAATTTATCCACAAAGTCAAAATTGGATACGTGCGGATATTATTACGTTAATTAGCCCGCCGGCATTGTAATTAATTATTTAATGCGCGCTGCATTACGATGTAGCGATCGGAGCGCGTTGTGTGGCCGTTATGATAAAACAATACTCCCACTATTTACGGTCACGGTGCTAGCAATAAACCAGCAAGCGTTGAGAGAGATGCAGGCGGCAGCGGGCGGGGGCGGCAGCACATTTTAGATTGCGCCCTGGCATTATTTTGTCGATTTGCATATTTGATTCTCGTCGCGTTCCTTGCGTCTGTTTATTCAATGTATGTATCAAACACAACAGGCCAACATGACGGGCTTCATATTCAGATAAATTGTTTTTAAAAAAACAACAAACGATATCGTATATTGTGAGCTTTTGATGGCTTTCATTACGATCGACAGAGTAGACGTGCAATGTGTTTTTAATTACTCAGCAAAAAAATATGAAATTTTTGAGAAAAATTTTTTTTTTTTTGGGAAAAATAGAATTCTTTTCATCTTACGCCGCAGGGCAGAGGCTCGGGTTATTGCTTTAATATTAGAAAGTCGATCGTTTATGAGATGACTGCACAAAAGCAAAAAATAAAATGTCTAGAGTCGCCAAGATGAAAGCGAAAAGTCGGATCTAATTAAGATTTGCGAAAAGTTTTAACTCAACTAGAAAAAATATAAAAACATGAAATTCCTGCAATCTCAAATACATTTCTCCACTTTCCGGGATTAAATTCTAACTGAAATCCCGCAAAACCGGAAAACCGGAAAATTAATTTATTTTTGATCTGTTTCTAAATAAAATAAAAAACTTTACTTGGTTAGATGATACTGGCTTGTGAAATTAGTTAATTAGCTTCAAGATACCTGAAGAAGTAACGACCATCACCATCGAGATAATCACAGACACCAACATGCTGCCCGGAGAGGAAAGTCTCCGATTACAAGAAGAAGTGACTACGCAGCGACGGCGGCAGTGAACACAAATTGCAGCACATCCTATTTTTTATCCCGCACACCGTTGGAGAGTCTTTTTTGCTAATACTATCCAATCATCCAAGCTTCACAGTTCACAGTTTTCCGCTTTTCCGGTTTCACTTGTTTACGAACTTTTTAGCTGGCGCGCGGATTACACTCACGTCGATCGGCACTGCGCGTTTGACACTGGCGGGAGCGGCGGCAGTAGGAGTAGCAACAGCGGCGGCGGTGGCTCTCCGGCGGCGGTTCGAGACGCTTGGCATCGCGGCGCGCTACCGACTGGCCTGAATTTCCACCGACCGCTTTCCACTGACATGCGCTCCTAAATCCCTCATATAAATTCCATACCTACCCGCCGCCACCGCCACCGCCAGTGGAGGCGGCCGCTGCCTTATAGTACCTTGCGTTATGGCAATCTCACAAGTCTGATAACTTTGTGATATTTTTCCGAGTAGGAAACTTTAATGTTTATTATAATTAAATTTGCTCATAAAAAAAGAATAAATTTAATATTAAATATTACAAGTTTTAAAAATCAAAGGTAAAGAACAGGTAAAAATATATTTATTAATAGTAATATCTATAAACACCCTGTATATCTTTGTGGAAACTCATAGTTTGGTATAAAACTTCATTACTTACCTTTAAACCATCATAAAACTCATAATAAATCAAAAATTTAGTGAAAAACCATTAAAAATGATAAAAAAGACACCATACCATCAATTTCATGGTGAGACTTCTTATGAATTACCCTGTATCATTGACTATACCTTCCAGAAACATTCCAGTAGTCCACACCAACTAAAACATTGTTTAAAAATATTTTTGTTTAATTTGTGATCTCATTAAAGATTCACTTAGTAACCTACCATCAATCTATGAAACAGGTTTGTGTGGTTTTTTTCCCTTATGCATTTTATTAAATTTTTACTATAAAAGACCTGCACCTCATCGATTTGAGTATAGTTGACTACCAACTGCACTTCAAACAACACTACCAATATGAAATTCTTGGTAAGTCCTAAGACCTTAAAGGTACCCTCAATACATTTTCTAAATTTTTACATTTAGATTGCTTTCGCCGCCGTTTTGGCCGTTGCCGCCGCTGTGTATGTCCCATACACTACTGGTGTAGCCACCTACACTCCATACGCTGCTTATGGTACCCACCATCTGTATAAACGTGGAATCTACGCTGCTCCAGTTGCTGCCTATCATGGTGCCTATGCCACACCATACGCTACCTACGGAGCTCATCACTTGTACAAACGTGGAATCTACACTCCATATGCCACACCAGCTTATACTTCTTATGCTGCTTATGGTACCCATCATCTGTACAAGCGTGGAATCTATGCCCCAGCTGCCTACCACACCGCTTATACCACCCCATACACTTTCGGAGCTCACCATTTGTACAAGCGTGGAATCTACACCTCATATGCCGCCACCCCTGTTGCCCACACCGCCTATAACACCCCATTCGCCGGACACCATTACTATTAAAATGTGATTGTTATATTTTGAACAGTTTTATGATGACGACATGAATAAAAAATGAATATATATTAAAATTATGTTTTATAATTATTTTGAAGTCAATATTTGCTTTGAAGGTTAAATTTAGATTTAGAAATTATATTAAGATCAATATCAATGTCAATGTCAACAAGTCAACAACTTGTATTGCAAGCTACGAAACAGTTAGAAACAACTTAACGAATACGAAGTTTTTTTTTTTGGTGTACGAGTAGTTTTATCGGATTGAATAATCTCAATCTTAAAACGTTAAAAATCGAAAGTTGTTTTATGTTTTATGTTTGATGTTTTAGTGTTTAGCATTAACACTGGGTAACTGTGTTATTATCCTAATATGCCATAAATTAACATAAATAATAAACAAATAAAAATGCTAATCGGTTCCCGTGCGCAACCTATACTTAAGTAATATTTTATCCCTACTAATATTATAAATGCGAATATCCTGATGTTTGTTACACTTTCACGAAAAAACTACTTAACCGAACATCATGAAAATTTGTACACATATTCTTAGTGGTCCCCGAATGGTTATAGGCTACTTTTTATTTAATAAAAAAAAATTATTTTTTAAATAAAATAAAGAAATAGTTTAGCCAATAGTACCTCTGCATCTGGCTATTAGACTACTTTAACGCCATCTAGCATTCCAGCAATGAAGCTCAAACCTAAGTACTATAGTACCATCACACTGTATTATCACACTGTATTACCGACAGCTACGTCAACATCAAATCCAATTGACTACACTATGGAGACTGTACACTATACTTCCATAGACTATACTTTCAGCCATTTTAAACTTCCTGCCATTCTATTTCATTGTTACTTCTTCTGTGACTACAGACGCGTACAGAAGCAACTTCATTATTTTGGATATTCGCGAGCGAAGCCGCGGGTTAAAGCTAGTAAAATATAAAAATAAACATAATTTTAGGTTAGGAGACAGGATATGATGTATATGAAGATTGTGCACTTGTAGCAATAATTCTCTATGAACGTATAGAAACAATATAAGACTTAAAACAATTAAACGCAACAATGTGCTCTGCAGTCGCAAGCAGTTTGTGACTAATTAATGCAATACACTAACAGTCTAACAGAATTAATTCGGCTCGGCAGCGAGGCAAACTTGTACGCATGTAAGCAGTGTAAGACGTTGTAAGACATAATACACACACACACACACACACACATAATTACATGTTATATGTTGCTGGTGTAATTTCGGAAATATGCACACGGTGCACGGATGCATAAAGTTTGAGAATGTGAATTGAAAAGTTGGGCATGCGCTGTAAATTAATCGCAAATTGCTTAAATTAGTGTTTGGGTATTAGGTATTTGTGTGTGATGAAAAAGTTGACTTTGTTAATGCAAATTCAGGTTGTGAAGTTGTGAAGATTTGAATGGCCTTGCACTTGAGTGACTTTTTTGGGTGATTTTTGGGTATAAATTTTGGGTACTTTGAGGTTTAGAGCACAGTTTACCTTTAGCCACAGTCTAAACAACAACTAAACACTCACCATGAAATTTTTGGTTAGTTATAAAGTTTAGTACCGTATTAAAAGGATAATTGTTAATTAAATTTGTTTTGATTTGATTACAGATTGCTTTCGCCGCCATCTTGGCCGTTTCCGCTGCTGTGTATGTAGCCCCAGTTGCTCATTATTCTGCTGCCGCCTACACTCCTTATACTTTTGGAGCTCATCATTTGTATAAGCGTGGAATCTACGCCGCCCCAGTTGCTGCCTATTCCCATGCCTATGCTACTCCATATGCTTTTGGTGCCCATCATTTGTACAAACGTGGAATCTACGCTGCTCCTGTTGCTGCCTACCATGGTGCCTATGCTACCCCATACGCCTTCGGAGCTCACCATCTGTATAAACGTGGAATCTATGCTGCCCCAGTCGCTGCCTACTCCCACGCTTACGCCACCCCATATGCCTTCGGTGCCCATCACTTGTACAAACGTGGAATCTACGCCGCTCCTCTTGCTTACACCGGATACTCCCACGCCGCCTATACCCCATACACCGGCTATTATTGAGCGAAAATTGAAACTGGAATGATCTATTAGTTACCTTTTACAATGTCAATGTAAATAAGATGATTACGAAAAATAAACATAAAATTTTACGAACAGAATGAATATTATTATTATTAATATTATTTATATTTATAAGAATTTATTACTAGATTATAACATCAGGCGGATATTGATATTCATTTTGATGACTTAACATAAGTCATATCTACTATGAGACATATTGGAGCATAAATATGCATAAAGAATAAATGTTTATCATAGTTAATTTTTGATCTAGAACTTGACTTAAGTATACGTACTTAGGTACATACTTAAGAAATTTTTCTTCTTCCACCTTTAAAGCGCCAGTTTATACACGGTTTTAGACTCAAAAAGTGGTACTTTATATACGGACGGCCAAGCCGTACATAATATTCATTATACAACTATAAACAATCAATTAAAATAAAATAACCAATAAAACACAGTAAATATTAGATTTACTTAAGTTACTTTCATATTACTTAAGTCAGTTATCTTCTGGATCTATAAACTACTCCAAAATTAATTTGACGTAGAAATATGATAGCAACATATTGAAACTTAATTAGATGCTTAAAAAAGAAATAGTTATAGTTAATTATGTGTATATCTTGTTTAAATTGAATAATTTTATTGCAAATTAGGTAAACAACAAAATAAATCTGATTATTTTTGCATAGTTTTATGTTATATTTTTTTTAATTATAAGTTTTTATAAGTTATGTTGTTGACTTTGCAAACTACTCATAGATGCATTTTTCTTAAGTTTTTTCAAACTGATAAAATATTACCTTGTTCTCGCTTAGGTAAAAATTTAGTATAAATAGCTGCTGAGTTGTAGGTAAGATCACAGTTGAGTTTTAGCAGCAGTCTAAACAACAACCATGAAATTCCTGGTAGGCTATTAATTTGTTTAAACAGTATATCATTTATTAATAATTTTATTGTTTATTATAGATTGCGTTCGCAGCCATCTTGGCTGTTTCCGCTGCTGTTTACGTAGCCCCAGCTTATCATGGTGTAGCCGCCTATGGTGCTTACACCCCAGCTGCCTACCATGGAGCTTACGCCACCCCATACGCTGGTATCTACGGTGCCCATCATCTGTATAAACGTGGAATCTATGCTGCTCCAGTTGCTGCTTACCATGGTGCTTATGCCCATGCTGGTTATGCCCACCATGCTTATGCTACACCATACGCTGGAGTCTATGGTGCTCACCATCTTTACAAACGTGGAGTGATCGCCGCCCCAATCGCCTATGGTGCTTATGCTCATGGTGCCTATGCCCATCATGGTTATGCTCACTCCGCCTATGCTACCCCATACGCCTTTGGTGCCCACCATTTGTACAAGCGTCAGATCAATGGCCCGCCCTTGATTTCTTCTTTATTTGGAGGTGGACTAGGTCATTAGTTACCTTTTGAACCGTTATTGTAAATAAAATAATTATGAATAAATATTAATAAAAATTTACAAATTGTATTAATATTAGTATTATTATAATTATATTCTGAATTACGTATATATTTTTTTATTAAATAAGTATAATGTAGCAAGAGATAAAATAGTTCAACAATTAATTCCTAGATTGCAGCACCAGAACTACAGTGAGATTTATTTTCATGACTTAAGTCGTTTACTGAATCCATCTTATCGGCCATGCATGTTACGCATAGCATAGATATAAATATTATACGTATTTGTGAGACACATACAGGGTACTACCGCACACAAGCACAAACATACTGTAAATGTAATCAATTATAGTATATAGATATAATTTGAAACTATACTTAAGTATACTTCATACTTAGTTGTAGATGTAATATGACGAAAATAGGACTTATACTCGTACAGTGATATGCAGTTAAGAAAATGTCCAAATAAAAACCAAATATCAAATTTACTTAAGTCAGTTAGTCATGTTCCTGCGCAATAATATGTTCCTGCTACATGAAACTATAATAAAATGATAATGAATAATTTAATTAACTTTTAGCTTTATTTAACATTAGCTCTAACCCGCTGCTTCGCTCGCGAATATCTAAAATAATGAAGTTGATTCCGTACGCGTCTGTAGTCACAGAAGAAGTAACAATGAAGTAGAATGGCGGGAAGTTTAAAATGGCTGAAAGTATAGTCTATGGAAGTATAGTGTACAGCCTCCATAGTGTAGTCAATTGGATTTGATGTTGACGTAGCTGTCGGTAATACAGTGTGATAATACAGTGTGATGGTACTATAGTACTTAGGTTTGAGCTTCATTGCTGGAATGCTAGATGGAGTTAAAGTAGTCAAATAGCCAGATGCAGAGGTATTATTGGCTAAACAATTTCTTTATTTTATTTAAAAAATAATTTTTTTTCTTAAATAAAAAGTAGCCTATAACCATTCGGGGACCACTAAGAATATGTGTACAAATTTTCATGATGATCGGTTAAGTAGTTTTTGCGTGAAAGTGTAACAAACATCAGAACTTTCGCATTTATAATATTAGTAGGGATTATTTATATGTATATTTTGTTTAAATTGTACAATTTTATTGCAAATTGAGTAAACAACAAATAAAACTGATTATTTAAATAGATTAATAGATTAAATAGATGTTATCGACTCTGTTTGGTAACTATTTTTTTTTTGTTTTGAAGTAATTTTTGTATATGAAATAATATTGAATAATTTATTACAAATTAGGTAAACAACATAATAAATCTGATTATTTTTGCATAATTATATGTTATAATTATTTTATTAAAAGTTTTATAAGTTATGTTGTTGACTTTGCAAACTACTCATAGATGCATTTTTCTTATTTTTTTCAAACTGATAAAATATTACCTTGTTCTCGCTTAGGTAGAACTTTAGTATAAATAGCTGCTGAGTTGTAGGTAAGATCACAGTTGAGTTTTAGCAGCAGTCTAAACAACAACCATGAAATTCCTGGTAGGCCATTAATTTGTTTAAACAGTATATCATTTATTAATAATTTTATTGTTTATTATAGATTGCTTTCGCAGCCATTTTGGCTGTTTCCGCTGCTGTTTACGTAGCTCCAGCTTATCATGGAGTAGCTGCCTATGGTGCCTATGCCCCAGCTGCCTACCATGGAGCTTACGCCACCCCATACGCTGGTATCTACGGTGCTCATCATCTGTATAAACGTGGAATCTACGCTGCTCCAGTTGCTGCCTACCATGGTGCTTATGCCCATGCTGGATATGCTCACCATGCTTATGCTACACCATACGCTGGAGTCTATGGTGCTCACCATCTTTACAAACGTGGAGTGATCGCCGCCCCAATCGCCTATGGTGCTTATGCTCATGGTGCCTATGCCCATCATGGTTATGCTCACTCCGCCTATGCTACCCCATACGCCTTTGGTGCCCACCATTTGTACAAGCGTCAGATCAATGGCCCGCCCTTGATATCTTCTTTATTTGGAGGTAGACTAGGCTATTAGTTACCTCTTGAACCGTTAATGTAAATAAAATAATTATGAATAAATATTAATAAAATTTACAAATTATATTAATATTAGTATTATTATAATTATATTCTAGATTACGTATATATTTTTTATTAAATAAGTATAATGTAGCAAGAGATAAAATAGTTCAACAATTAATTCCTAGATTGCAGCACTAGGACTACAGTGAGATTTATTTTCATGACTTAAGTCGTTTACTGAATCCATCTTATCGGCCATGCATGTTACGCACAGTATAGATATAAATATTATACGTATTTGTGAGACACATACAGGGTACTACTTCACACAAGCACAAACATACTGTAAATGTAATCAATTATAGTATATAGATATAATTTGAAACTATACTTAAGTATACTTCATACTTAGTTGTAGATGTAATATGACGAAAATAGGACTTATACTCGTACAGTGATATGCAGTTAAGAAAATGTCCAAATAAAAACCAAATATCAAATTTACTTAAGTCAGTTAGTCATGTTCCTGCGCAATAATATGTTCCTGCTACATGAAACTATAATAAAATGATAATGAATAATTTAATTAATTTTTAACTTTAACTTATTTAACATTAGCTCTAACCCGCTGCTTCGCTCGCGAATATCTAAAATAATGAAGTTGATTCCGTACGCGTCTGTAGTCACAGAAGAAGTAACAATGAAGTAGAATGGCGGGAAGTTTAAAATGGCTGAAAGTATAGTCTATGGAAGTATAGTGTACAGCCTCCATAGTGTAGTCAATTGGATTTGATGTTGACGTAGCTGTCGGTAATACAGTGTGATAATACAGTGTGATGGTACTATAGTACTTAGGTTTGAGCTTCATTGCTGGAATGCTAGATGGCGTTAAAGTAGTCAAATAGCCAGATGCAGAGGTATTACTGGCTGAACATTTTCCTTATTTTATTTAAAAAATAATTTTTTATTAAATAAAAAGTAGCCAATAACCATTCGGGGACCACTTAGAATATATGTACAAATTTTCATGATGTTCGGTTAAGTAGTTTTTGCGTGAAAGTGTAACAAACATCAGGATTTTCGCTTTTATAATATTAGTAGAGACTATTTATGTGTATATTTTGTTTAAATTGTACAATTTTATTGCAAATTGAGTAAACAGCAAATAAAACTGATTATTTAAATAGATTTATGTTAATTTTTTTTATTACTGTCTTAATACGTCGATGTTATCGACTCTGTTTAGTTACTGTTCTTTTTGTTTTGAAGTAATTTTTGTATATTAAATAATATTGAATAATTTATTACAAATTAGGTAAACAACATAATAAATCTGATTATTTTTGCATAATTATATGTTATAATTATTTTATTAAAAGTTTTATAAGTTATGTTGTTGACTTTGCAAACTACTCATAGATGCATTTTTTCTTAAGTTTTTCAAACTGATAAAATATTACCTTGTTCTCGCATAGGTAAAAATTTAGTATAAATAGCTGCTGAGCTGTAGGTAAGATCACAGTTGAGTTTTAGCTGCAGTCTAAACAACAACCATGAAATTCTTGGTAGGTTTAATTTGTTTAAACAATAGAAAATGTGTTAATTATTACATTGTTTATTATAGATTGCTTTTGCCGCCGTTTTGGCTGTTTCCGCTGCTGTTTACGTAGCCCCAGCTTATCATGGTGTAGCCGCCTATGGTGCCTATAGCCCAGCTGCCTACCATGGAGCTTATGCCACCCCATACGCTGGTATCTACGGTGCCCATCATCTGTATAAACGTGGAATCTACCCTGCTCCAGTTGCTGCCTTCCATGGTGCTTATGCCCATGCTGGATATGCTCACCATGCCTATGCTACCCCTACGCTGGTGTCTATGGTGCCCATCATCTCTACAAACGTGGAGTGATCGCCGCCCCAATCGCATATGGTGCTTATGCTCATGGTGCCTATGCCCATCATGGTTATGCTCATTCCGCCTACGCTACCCCATACGCCTTTGGTGCCCACCATTTGTACAAGCGTCAGACCGATGGCCAAAATGCCTATAAGAGTATATCTCTTTTGTCTGGAGCTGGACTAGGTCGTTAGTTACCTTTTGATCAGTTAATGTAAATAAAATAATTATGAATATGTATTAATAAAAATTTACAAATTATATTAATATTATTATTATTATAATTATGTTCCGGATTATATATAGTTTTCTTTGTTTAATAAATAAGTATAATGTAGCAAGAGACAAAATAGTTCAACAATTGATTCCGAGATTGCAGCACTAGGACTACGGTGTGATTTATTTTCATGACTTAAGTCGTTTACTGAATCCGTCTTATCAGCCATGCATGGTGCGCACAGTATAGATATAAATATTATAGGTATTTGTGAGGCATTTATTTTGCACAACTACACACAGACACAAACAGTTTGTAAATGTAATCAATTATAGTAAATTTATTATTTGAAACTATACTTAAGTACATGTACTTCATATTTAACTGTAGATGCATTATGGCACAGATAGAATTTTTACAGGTATATGCATTCAATATAATAACCAAGTAAACACTTAATTTTTAGTTTACTTAAGTCACTTGAGTATTACTTAAGTCACTTGAGTATTACTTAAGTTAGTCAGTCATGTTCCTGACTTTTATTGTACTCTCAATTTGATTTTGCACAAAAATATGTTCCTGCTATATGAAACTATAATTAAAGGACAATAAATATTTTTATTAACGTATAACTTTATTTAATTATGTGTATGTTTTGTATAAATTGTACAATTTTATTGCAAATTGAGTAAACAACAAATAAAACAGAATATTTAAATAGATTTATGTTAATTTTTTATTTACTGGTTTAATAAATCCATGCTGTTGACTTTGTTTAGTTGGTATTATTTTTTGTGTAAACTTTTAAGTAAGTTTTTATATGAAAAACATTGTGTTGTCCTTGATTAGGTAAAAATTGAGTATAAATAGTTGCTGAGCCGTTGGTAAGATCACAGTTGAATTTTAGCTGCAATCTAAACAACAACCAAACCACCCAACAACAAACATGAAATTCTTGGTAGGTTAAATTTGTTTAAACAATAAAAATGTATTAATTATTACATTGTTTATTATAGATTGCTTTCGCCGCCGTTTTGGCCGTCTCCGCTGCTGTTTACGTAGCTCCAGTTCATCATGGTGTAGCCGCTTATGGTGCTTACACCCCAGCCTACCATGGTGCCTATGCCACCCCATACGCTGGTATCTACGGTGCTCATCATCTGTATAAACGTGGAATCTACGCTGCTCCAGTTGCTGCTTACCATGGTGCCTATGCCCATGCTGGTTATGCTCACCATGCCTATGCTACTCCATACGCTGGAGTCTATGGTGCTCACCATCTCTACAAGCGTGGAGTGATCGCCGCCCAGTTGCCGCCTATGGTGCTTATGCTCATGGTGCCTATGCTCATCATGGTTATGCTCATTCCGCCTACGCTACCCCATATGCCTTCGGTGCCCACCATCTGTACAAGCGTGGAATCTACGCCGCCCCAATTGCTGCCTACCATGGTGCCTCTGTTGCCCACACCGCCTACAACACCCCATTCGTCCCACGTTACTACTATTAAATGTATAAGATGTATAAAATGTTATGACCATTACTTATAAGCAATAAAAATATAAAAATCTAAAAACATTTTGTTTTATTTATTTTTAATATTATTGGAATATTAAACGAAAAGCACAGTCACAAGTACTAAAATATTTATTGACTTTCAGTTTCAAACAAATCATTCGAATAAAACTTAAAAACTCAATTTAGATTTGTTTTTCTTTGTTATTGTTTCTTTTGGTATCAAGTCAAGTTTTCTTAAAACAAACACGCACAAAATGTTTTACCTGTTACATTTAATTCCGTACCAAACATACTATACTAAATTTTTAAAATTTGTATAATAAATCAACAATGTAGCTAAATATAACATATTTTTAATTAAATTTTTATAAATAATTTATTTCTATACTTATATTAATATTTTAATTGACATTTTTCTTTTTTATCTTCTGATTAAAAAAATGTATAACATAAATATTTCTTTGTGAGTTGCGTGACCTTGAAATAGGCTTATTCTGGTTTTGATTGTTATAAATATTTGCAATAATAAATATATGTAAATTGTCTTCCGTCGATAGTTGTTTTTAAACAGGTAGTCCACAAAAAAACTTCCAAAAAACTAAGCATTGTTTTGATTATAAATTAGCAACAAAAACAACAATTATTTGACCTTCAATATGTCTTGTAGAGCATATTTTTCATATAAATAGAGCAGGAATATTTCGTTAGATCACAGTTGAATTTTAGCTGCAGTCTAAACAACAACCAAACAAACTCACCATGAAATTCCTCGTAAGTTTTTCATCTAAGGATTTGATCTACAGCTTACATATTTTCCTATAATAAAATTTTCATTGTTTTAGATTGCTTTCGCCGCCGTCTTGGCCGTCTCCGCTGCTGTTTACGTAGCCCCAGCTTATCATGGAGTAGCCGCCTATGGTGCCTACACCCCAGCTGCCTACCATGGTGCCTACGCCACCCCATATGCTGGTATCTACGGTGCCCACCATCTGTATAAACGTGGAATCTACGCTGCTCCAGTTGCTGCTTACCATGGTGCCTATGCCCATGCTGGTTATGCCCACCATGCTTATGCTACTCCATACGCTGGTGTCTATGGAGCTCACCATCTTTACAAGCGTGGAGTGATCGCCGCCCCAGTCGCCTATGGTGCTTATGCTCATGGTGCCTATGCCCATCATGGTTATGCCCATTCCGCATACGCTACCCCATATGCCTTCGGTGCCCACCATCTGTACAAACGTGGAATCTACGCTGCTCCTTTGGCTTACCATGGTGCCTCTGTTGCCCACACCGCCTACAACACCCCATTCGTCCCACGTTACTACTATTAAATGATTATGACTATTAAATGTTACCGACAAGATTGTATAGATTAAAATAAATAAATAAAAATTAAACAAATTTTTATCTAGTTCATGTTATCCTATATATTATCTTCCAGACAGTGCTTATAATACTTAATTAAATATATTGCAATATACTTTATGAAATTCAAATTAATATAAATTTACTCAAATATTTATTTCTATTAAGGTATATTTTTATATTTGTATAATTAAATTACATAGACATTAATAAGATCCATTAGCGTTGATATCGCATTTCATATACAATCTAAAGTAAAACACATTCATCGTATTTCTTGTTTTTTATATTACAAGAACTCTTCTTTTAATTAAACTTATATTGATATTGATTCATTTATATCATGTCGTTTGTTGTTATATAAATCTTGATACTATTAAGTTTTTTTTTATATACAATGAAATAAAACTTTATTTTTATATCTTTCTATTTATTTTTTGATGTTATCACTCTATTTACAACTTTCTACATCTGCCAAACTAATATATTTATTTAGAGTCTCTACTTTCTATATTATACTGAGTGTTTACTACACAAAATTTTGATAATTAATAAAATCTGTCTATTTTGCAAGACTTGTTATTGTTATTGTATACTAGCTGTTGCCCGCGACTTCGTTCCAGCAGTGTTTAATAAAAATGTATTTCGTTTTTACTCTCTTATTCTAGACATACTCGTAGTAAGAGTCAATTCTATCAATAAGATTAGCAATTTTAATTTAAAGAAATTAATTATATAAAGTTTTGTCAATAATGCACTTCAGCGCGCCATCTCGAAATCAACTATTTAACTATAACTATGATTGAATCTCAATGTCAAATTTTATTCTATAGAAAAGAGCTGTTTTGAGGATTTTCCCTGCAATTATTCGAATTTTTCTCACAATTTAAACCTTCCCTAGTCCTCCACGAATAATTCAAGACCAAGATAAGATAAATCCGTTCTGCCGTTCTCGAGTTTTAGCGAGACTAACGAACAGCAATTCATTTTTATATAACATATATAGATTGGATTAAAATTTATAAGCTACATTTTTACATTAGGAGATCATATATTTGACATAGTAAAATTTAGTCAAAACTTACTCAGTCTTTTCAAGAATAAATTTTATATATTAAAAAAACACAATAATTGCTCACTGACATATTTTCATTATTTATTAAAATGCATTCCCATTAAAAACAAGTTGTTGCCCATATTGGTTGATATTTAGACCTACCAATTATACATTTGTGATATATGGTATTTACTTCCTTGTTAGATACCTACTCGATCATGCCACACTTTTTTGGTACACATACTTGTTTTCGAAACTGTGTTACAACTCTCAACCTTGAACATGAACCATGAGTGAGTTGCTATGCTCTGCTTTATTAAAGTTCAAATGCCTCACCATTGCTGCACAAGAACAAGCAAGGTGTGGCATTGCTTTAATTTTTGTATAAATAGCCAAAACTGCAAGGTGGTAAGCACAGTTGCATCCTAGCTGCAGTCTAAACAACAATCAAACACTCACCATGAAATTCCTGGTGCGTTTTGGTTATTGAATTAAAAAACTAAAAAGAAAGAAATTATTAATAAAATTTGTGTTTGATTACAGATTGCTTTCGCCGCCATCTTGGCCGTTTCCGCTGCTGTATATGTAGCCCCAGTTGCTCATTACTCCGCTGCTGCCTACACTCCATACGCTACTCCATATGCCTTTGGAGCTCACCATCTGTATAAGCGTGGAATCTACGCCGCTCCAGTAGCTGCCTACACCCATGGTGCCTATGCCCATGGTACCTATGCCCACCATGCCTACGCTACCCCATACGCTGGTGTCTATGGAGCTCACCATCTCTACAAACGTGGAATCTATGCTGCCCCAGTAGCTGCTTACCATGGTGCTTATGCCCATTCTGCCTACACCACCCCATACGCTTTTGGTGCCCACCATTTGTACAAGCGTGGAGTCTATGCTGCTCCTTTGGCCTACACCGGATACTCCCATGCTGCCTACACCCCATACACCGCCTACGGTGCCCACCATCTGTACAAGCGTGGAGTCTACGCCGCCCCAATTGCTGCTTACCATGGTGCTTCTGTCGCTCACACCGCCTACAACACCCCATTCGTCCCACGTTACCACTATTGAATGTTTTGAAATTATAAGGAAATCTAGGCGCAATAAATAAATAACATACGACAATATCTTGATGTTTTATTTTTATTGTTGATCATAAAATGTAGAAAAATGCAGAAAAATGCAATGGGTTTTGTTATAGTGGTGAATATAAAGGAACATCATTAACCTTGCACTTAAAAACATACTAAATACTAGTAGTACCTATAAATACTCCAGGAACATATCAGGAAAAATATCACTTTGTATTACCAAGTTGCTCAGTCAGAATCAGATCAATATTAAACATGAAGTTCCTGGTAAGACCTCCATACCTGAAAGAAACCCATATTATCTCTTTAAATTTACAATGGTATTTTAACCCAGATTGCTTTAATGGTCATCATGACCCTTGCCCCTGGTTTCTACTCAGCTCCAGCCCTTCAACAACAATTCGGGTTCTACCCACCTGCACCTGGACCAGCACCAGTATCTGCTTCTGGACCAAGTTTCTATAGTGCCCATGAATTATACCGACGTGGAATCATCTCCAATACTCCAATGGATTACGCCTATGGTAATTTTGGCCCACATTTTGCTCCAGCTGCAGCCCCAGCATCAGTACCAATCTACGCTGATGGAACCCAAGCCTCACCTTTTGACAGACGCAGAGTAAACCCTGGTCCATTTGCTTATTCAAGTTATTCCAGCGCCACCTATACTCACGCCTTTGCTACTCCTCACTTTTTTAATGCCCCAAATGTCCCTCATAATAATCCTATTAATTAATAAGCAAAAATATATAAAAATATAAAAATAAAACTTTTATATATAAAAAAAAGTTAATTAATTAATAGCAAAAAAATCGGTAGATACACGTACATAAAATAAAATTGACAAAAATAAAACTCGCGCTATTAATTCACTCATATTGAATTCCGAAAAAAATTTGATCACATATTTTTTACAGTTTTATGCGAAGTATTCACCCGACTCAGCAAATAACTCTGATAGGAATTTATATGAGTTCTGGCTGTTTCACAAATAAATTCGTCGAAAACAGCAAAAAAATCACTAAAAGAATTAAACATTTATGTATTTAATTAATTTTATATGCAATTGCCGGAATACATTAAACATATTTGAAAGTTTCATTGTCATAGTAAACTAGTAGTTAAATAATACATTAATAAATTAACTATTCAACACAACTCACACTATTTGTTTATATTATTATGCGTATAAATGTCTATCAATAAATATGATATTTTGATATTTAAACTAAATCTACAAAACATGTTTCTAAAATGCAAAATTTAAATCTAAAATGTTAAATAGATGCATATTTTTGCTATAAAAGCAAAGAAACATAAAATAATTCTTCAGTTTATAAAAATCATCAAAATCAAAATGAATATTTTGGTAAGATAAAAAATTTATCACAAAACATTAAAAAATATTAATTATTTTATTTTAAGGTTATTTTCCTTAGTTTTTTGGCTTTTGTTGCTGCTGGGAGCCACGCCCCTTACTACATCCACGCCCACTTGATTCCAACCTATCATAACCTTCATAAACGTGGAGTACACCTCGCCCCTCTGGGATACCCCGCCCCTGAAGGCTACTCAAGTACATTTGAGACTGACTACCGCCTCTACAAATAATAAAATCTACTTAATAATGAAAATAATGTATTTTTAACGACTCCCAAACCAGATTTGCGACTTTTGAGTCTGTATGTAAATATTGCCCGTGATATGAATGTATAAAAATAGACTTTATGTACACAAGCGTTGATTTTATTCGTTTTTCGTTTTTTGTGTCGTGCAAGCCTTCGACGGCGCCCGAATTGATCGTAATATTTTTTAGTAATGTTCCGGACTGGAGTAAGGGTGCGTATATTGCGTTGGGCACAATATAGCTCATATTCTATTGCCGTAAACGTCACTGTAATAATATATATGAGTTTTTTCGCTTTCTTTTCTGCGAATAAAAAAAAATCAAATAAAATTTGATTTCGTATTCAAATATTTAAAATACTACAAATATATTTTTCAGATAAATTTTATTTTTTCAGAGGGTAGTTTTTTAAGGGTGGAAAACCGTCGATTAAATCTTCGTGTCACGACGATATGTCCAACTCGCCAACTTGACATATTACGTGGTCGGCGACCGAGAATCGTCTTCATTCGGCCGCCAATCTATCTCACCGAACCACTCTCAACCCTCACAAACTACTACCCTGTATCAATTTGCTAGATAAACTCCAACTCACTGGATGTTTGTATTTGTGTGTGTGTGTGTGTGTGTGTATTTGATGTGGTTTGATAGTTGCAAGTGTGACATTGATCGTTGTGTAATCGAGTCGCGTCGGTTATCAATCATATCCACACACACACAGATAGAAGATAAAGGGGGTGAGTTGTGAGTAGTGCCATTAGAAAGTTAGTGGATATTGATAGCACGGATATTCTTGGATTTTCTTTCGTTTCTTCGTATTTTCGATCAGAAAAACAACCAAGTTGTCTTTCTTTGGAATGAAAGGATTTTATTGTGGCTCCTTGTAACAATAGAGATTTTTTTCGATAATACAAACCGGAAGTGAAATACTATACAACTCATCAGTATTAATTTAAACAGACTGTGATCGATTGATATTGTGTATGGTTCATATTTTATTAATGTTTTAGTTTTATGAATTTTTAGTTTTTCGCATTTTAAGGTCATTTTTTGAGGGCGTTTTAGGGCATTATAAAAATATTTATAAAAATTAAAAAATATGATACGGATAGTACGACTTTCTGACTACAATTTGCAATAAAAATATTTAAAATACCTCAATGGATATAGGAGATACAGAGTGTTTTATGGAACATATTTTAAAAATTCTTAAATTTGTATTTTACATTTTTAGGGCTTTTTCAAAGGACGTTTAAGGGCATTATAAATATATTTAGTTAAAATAAAAACATGCAATGGATAGAGAGCCTTTTTGGCTATAAGTTACAAAAAATAAACCAAATAACTTTATTAGTATAGAAGATACAGAGTGTTTAAAAAAACATGTTTTATTATTTTTTCCAAAAATTCATATTTTATTAATTTTGTAAATTCATGAATTTTTCAGTAACAACCCCTATCAATCAGCCCAAAATCTTATCCCTTATTTATACCCAATTTTAGATTCCAACATCTCAGTTTCCCCAGCAAAAATAAACCGTTACTCTGATTGTGGGCTTTTGTCAATCAGTCACAGGTTGACACAAAACACGCTTGCTAGCCTTGCAAAATCTATTACTAAGATGTTTTCTCCGCCCTGATGGCCGATTTGTAACACGCTCGCCGGGGCATGCTTGATGGACGTCTTCCTGTGTCTCTCCGCTCGCGGGATCATCGCGCATCAGACAAGCGGACCGGATCCGAGATGAATCCGGCAGCTCTCTGCCCAAACCCAACAGCTTATCTAATATTTGGTTGCATTGTTGTAGAATAGAATATTCAACACGTAGGCACCCACATCAAGCACGCCCAAGACTAGGGGGCCTTTTAGCAAACGAGGCATTGATTCGGGATTATCAAGCGGGATACGGAACTGCACATTATCCCGAGCGCACCGATGTTGGTTAAGGTTCGGGCGTTTCATTCATAATACACACCCGAGTGTTTATCACGCGCGTCAAATTTCGGTGGACAACACAATGCGATTTTCAGCATCGCTTAGCGCAAGCACTAAACAAAGCTGCATAATTATTTATAAGTTTATATGCAAAATGTAAAATTTTTCAATTTGTGTCACATTGTGGAATAAAATTGAATCGCAAAGAATTTATAGTGCATTCGCACCGTTATCGTTAGTGCAGCTACTTATTGAATTTTCTCTTTATGCGCCATTGTCGACCATTTTGCAGCGAGTGAAATAATGCTAAACGCTCGCGGCGTTCGAGCTTCAACGTGCGACAACGTGCAACACACGTTCCCGGAAATTAAATATTGAGCGCGTTATTATTACAAAAACATTTTATTTCACTACTAAAACTTTAAATTTAAATTTTCAAGTTTCTAAACACTTAGTATTTATTTGTGGCTTGTTTTCGGGTAGTTTTCGGCCTCTAATCGAATTTTTCCCGATAAACGCGCAGCCCGCATGCCCGCAAGCAAAGACTGGCAATCCTTAGTCCTTCCCCACATCCTCCGCCACAATTTATACCTTCCTTTAGTTTTTTCTATCGCTACATGTTTCGAGAGAGGGTTTCGTTTGCGCTCGGTTTGTTCGATCTCGATCTCCGCCAGGACATTCCAGCCGCTACTGCTGGTGCTTTTAACTAATTTATATCCCCAAAGGAAGTTCCACCTATCCACCTATAATAGAGCTACGCGTGGGCGCAGAGAAGGCTGAAGTTTTGAGGACAATCGACAATCGACAACGAAAAGGACAAGGCTCAAACAAGCTAACATTTAACCGCTATCGTTCAAGTTTACTCGTGTGAGAAGCAATTTTTAAAATAGATACAGCTTTTAAGGTTTTATGGGTTTATTTATTATTGCATATTATGTTTTAGGGAAATGAATGAGACTTTTAAAACGTAGATGATTTTTACTTTTAGTTAGAGCGTAAAATGCATAAAGTAAAGTATTGATTTCGTATCAATTTTCTCTTTCAATGCAAGGCGAAGCATCTAAAATAGGCCAAAGTAAGTGCAGGAGTGCTTAAAAGCATATCGTTAAAGTAAAGAGTTTGTAAACGTGCCAAAACGTCCTCGAACTCGCTTTATTATGTCGTTTACGGAGCGATTTCTTTACCGCCAGGAATTAGTTGTATGCATTTTAAGGTCATTTTTGGAGGGCGTTTGAGGGCATTTTGAATATAATTAGAGAAAAATAAATAGTGCATATAATAAAGGATCATTTTAGCTATCATTTGCAGTAAAAATATTGTAAATTAGTTTATTGGTACAAAAGATACAAAATATTTTCTGAAACGTATTTTTGCATTGTGTGCATTTTTGCATTTTAGGTCATTTTTGGAAAACGGTTTAGGGCATTCAAAATATATTTAGAAAAATTAAAAGTAATACACAGGATAAAGAATCTTCTTAGCTATAATTTCCTGAAACAATATTTCAAATTACTTTATTGACATAGAAGATACAGAGTGTTTACCGAAACACGTTTTCAAATTTTATGAAATTTGTAAAAATGCATTTTAGATCATTTTTGAAAAACATTTTAGGCCATTTTAAATATCTTCAAAAACTAATAAAATAGTACATAGGAAAGACAAACTCTTTATCTACCAAATACATAAAAATATTTAAAATATCTCAATTGGTACAGGAGATACAGGGTGTTTTTCAAAACATGTTTTAAAAATTCCGAAAAAATTGATAATTTTCCTTTTTCATATTATGATATCAATTCCATCTACGTCAAAGCATTTTCCTCGTTCTGCATCCACTTTCAACTCACTTCCTCCCGTCCTCGCTCATTTCCTATTCTCGCAGCCGCGCTTTTATTCCAATTCCGGGCCCTTGCAACGTTAATATTTTCTTTGTCGATTACACGATACGCAGAACGTCATCGTGGTGTGCGCGTATGTGGAAAAGCGGAAGAGGCGTGTGAGTTCGTGTAACGTATTCCCGGAACGCGCAACGTTTTGCTACGTAGTCACGCGGCGGCGGGCGATGAACGGGCGAGCAATAAATTTACGGATTTTTCATAAAGTCGACACGCGATATGAGAGATTTGATTCGACGGCATCTAAACCCCAAAACGCCAAACGCTAACCCAGCGCAAGTTGCCAACCTGAAACATGCGTATGACCTTATATCAGCATAAAAAATACAAGATCTACACGTGCAAAAATTACAACGACACGTGTAAACACTCAAAATACAGATTTACATTTTAT